TTACTTCTGGTAGGGTCAAGGGACCACATGGGGTCCCGTGGACTGAACCTGTGTTGGCCACATGCAAGGCAAGGGCCCTACCCATTGCTCTATTGCTCTAGTGCCTTATCAAACACTGTTGCTATATGCACATCTTTCATACACCACTCAAGAACCCAAGAACTCAGGAATAAATCCATTATTCTTTGTTGATGTTGTTGTTTGGGGTTTTTTTGGGTTTTGTTTTGGAGCCACACCCAGAGATGATCTGCACAACAACTCCTGACAGTGCCCAAGGGACCATATGGGATGCTGGGGATCAAACCCAGGTCAGCCATGTGCAAGCCAAAAGTCTTCTCATTGTACTCTCTCAGGCCCTGAAATAAATCCACTTTTGCAGTGATAACTTCCCGCACAAAAAGAAAAAACAACCAAAAGTACAACCACATTTAACTTTCCAAAGTTATAAAAGGTTCTACAAGCATCAAACTCATCTGCAAGACTGCTTGTCAAATACACTTCGCCCATAAGACCCAGAAGCTGGCCTCATGACCTCTACTACCATGGTCCAAGCTAAGGTGTATCAACTGTGGCCTGGAGAATTGCCACAGCCTCCTACCTGGCTTCCCTGCCTTCAGTCCCTCTACATCAAAATCCACTCTCAATAGGAGTACAGTTGAGACTCTTCAAATGCTAGCAGGATTGTGTATGAACCCTCTGATCAGTTTGACTCTGTGCAGGAACCAGATGGCATGGTCAAAGGAGGTGATAAAGACACCAGTGACACTGACAGGGAGAGCCAGTGCCTGGGTCCCAGACCTGAAGAGGAGGAGGCAGAGGGAACAAGAGCTCAGCAGATGGAGCTTACAGGAGATGACCTTCAGTCTAGAGGCACTCCAGCCCACACAATAGCACAGGAAAGAAACAAACATACTATATCCACTCTTTTTGCCTGCTCAAGCCCTATCAATAATCCCTAGGGCCACTAATCAGAAGCCATTAAGGCAAGGGAGCTTATCAATGAGGTCCACCTTCGGATGTACTTGTACAGAGCAGGGTAAAAGGGAGTAAAATGAATGTGGGGGTGGTTAAACAAACAGAGCTTTCCAAAACAATACCTTTCCCACCTCCATTAAGGTGTTTGAAATACTGCTCACAACAAGACCTCCTTGTGAACCAAATTCATTCCCTAGTCTTGTTTGCTAACTTCTCTACAAGCTCACACTGTCTCATCACACAGCATGCACACTTCTGCCTTGGTCTCCCTGAGCTGCTGCTTTTTTCTGCCCGAATGTTTTGCCATGGACATATACATCATTTCAGGTCTCGGTTCAAATGTTTCAACAGAAGCTTTCCCCTATTACTTTTTGTAAAATCTGCTACCATCCCACTCCCTTGTCTTCAGGAACTCACTTTCCTTTATCCTGCTTCATTTTCTCCATGGCATTTCTGATTAACATTTGGTAACTGATTGACAGATTGAATCAATTCTGTTGTGTCTAGTTCTGTTGTGGTAGCCACACCCAGTAGTGCTCAAGATTTTCCAAGATTTTCCCTGGCAGGGCTGGGAAACAGAAGAAGGTGGGTAGAGTTGTTCCAGGGGCAGAATCCCGGGTCTCACACAAGCAAAGGATGTGCTATATGAGGTAGTGCTTAAGCCATATCCCCAGATCTAGTCAGATTTTTTTCTCCTTTATAAATCGCTTGCCTCTGACTTAGCCTCTTTGGTTCCTGCATAATTATGCCCAGCACCTTAAACATTGCCTGGAACTTGATATTTCTTAGATGAAAGAAAAATCAATGAACAAATAGAAGAATCCATAGATAAAAATTCTTTCCACTGTTTAGAGGTTTCATTTATATTATCAAATTTGTGTTTACCAAAGCCTCCTAATAATTTCCTAATAATCAGGCACTTGTTTTTATTGGTAAAGACACAAAATTGAGGCTTGTCAGTAAATCCCTATGAATAAATGGTTAGATGAAGACCAAAAAAAAAATTAGTAGTGTCTCCTCTGAACAACTTGTCCTCTCAAGGTTTCTTACTTATTCTGATCAACTACCAACCTCCTACTTCTCTGAACTTCAGCCTTCTGATAATGTAGAACTTGTAAGAACTGAATGATACAATGTATGGAGCACATTTAGTTTCATGCTTGCACCAAGTAAAGGGGCATGGTGATTATGAAATCACTGAGGCAGCCTGGAGAAGGACAAGATTCAATATCTTCCCACTCTCTGAAACTGAAGTGCATGGGTTCAAACTCCAGGGTTCAATCCCCAACACCACATGGTCCACAGAGCACTGCGAGGAAGGAGCCCTGAGCACAGAGATAAGAGTAGCTCCCTGACACCTCTGGTTGTAGACAAAATACAAAGGATGTTCTCCTGCCTACTACACAGTATGGGCTAAATTTGAGACTCTGTAATACTATTGTTTCATATCAAAAATGTTGAGGTGCTGAGGAAAACCTCTCACCCCTCTGGGTTAATCTTTGGTTGGACAAGTAATCAAAACAGCATCTGACAGGTTAGTAAAGAAAAAAATATTTAATAACATGGAGAAGTATTTATAAATTTGCACTTTTTTTCTTTAAGTGATGAACCAGGAATATATATCCTGAGCCAGGACCAGGGATATCAAGGAGGGAGAAGGGTGAGACAGAACAAGGAGGAGTGACCTCACATTTCTACTGAGAGAAACCACACGAGTTTCTCAGATAAAGAGAACATGTTCACTACACGTGTATGATCCCCTCTCACCCAACTACATTATTCTGAGTCATAAACTGGGAGAGCAGGGATTGCTTCTTTGATTAGGAAAAAGACAAAGGACAGAGACAAGAACAAGAGATTCTTCCAAGCTTTCCAGGGTCTTCAGAGCACTTATTGGAAAATAATCTGCATTCCTACGTAATGACATCCCTATTCCCTGCGCACCCTAGGCCCACGGGGACTCTAGTGACCTTTAGTTCCCCATACCAAAGAGACACTTATTGGAAGAGATATACTCTGGGCACTAAGAAATCTCCCTGAACTTTGAGGAAGGCGGATCCCACAGATCCACATCTGGCCAGATCTCTGGCATTAATTTAAATTAAAATTTAATTAAAACCTGGTATTAATTTCAGTATTACTCGTTATTGCTAATAGCTCTGAGTATCTAAGTGCTAATATTTTTCTGTTAAGACCTAAGTAGGGCACACTGACTACAAAATAGCATGGACAGCCCTACTACCATGAAAAGAAAACTTGCCCATTCGGTAGGTTTTTTTTCTTTTTTGGGGTTGGGGGTTGGAGGGGTCACATTTGGCATGCTCAGGGCTTCCTTCTGGTTCTGCACTCAGGAATTACTCCTGGAAGGCTTGGAGGCCCATATGGGATGCTGGGGAAACCCAGATCAACCACATCCTACCCTCTGTATATCACTCTCGCTCCTATTTTCTGAGTCTGGTCATGCTGAAATTTTCTTCATTTAAAATCATGATAACAGCATTTTAAAACAAACTAAAAGAAAAAACCTGTCATAACATACCAAACAGGAAAAATCTAGTTTCAGGTAGCAGAGGACACCATATAGGAAAAAAAGAGAAAGAGATCAGCAAAGGTCTTGGTAATGTTCCTAAATTTGACTTGGACTTCCTAGCTAGGAAAATCTCTTTTCTGGTCTCTAAATGAAGCTTCCAATTCCTTCTTCTCTACTAGCATCCTATCACTCTCTACAGGGTCAAATGAGTTAACTGCATAAAAGGTAATCCCTGGTCTCATGTAACATAAAAACAAAAAGGCTTGGCCAGAATCAACTCCACCATCCATCTCCGAGACACTACATTCTTAAGTTTCTCATTTGATAGATTTCTCGCTAATCTTTTATAAAATGTTCTGTAAAAAGACATACTGGTGGGCTAATATAAAGAACTAGATTTATTTCTTGTGTTCTCAAAAATCCATGAACATAAATCTCCAGTTAAAATATTCTCCTCACCATTGTATGTACTCAAGTCCTTGCTTTGGCTAGTAATTTTCATTTAAGTTACAAACACACAATATATTATCACCACTAACTTGACCCAAACAGGGGCTTCTAACTTTAGGCATGAAAGTCAAAGCAGGTCTCTAGAAGGGAAAACCTGGAGACTGATCTTACTAGATTTTCTTTTAGGAAAGCACCCTGATATTGCTAATGCTACAAAGAATCACCCTGACCAATTTTCCTAGAGACAGATGGGTAAACATTTCCACAATAACTAACTTGGGAACAATTCCAAATGGGGAATAAGAAGAAAAACATTACTCATTCCCTAAACCACTTCTGAAAGTGATAGGTTTCATCATCCAACTTGGAAACGTTGGTAAATGACAAACAATCCAAAATTCATGCTTTAATTTTTGCATTTTCCAAAATGTCCTGCTTTCCTGCCAGTTTTTGCCAACCATCCTATGCCCTCTCATGGGTAGGGGCTGCTCTGCTTCTTCGTACACCCAGCTTTTGACATTGTGTCCAACTGGCAGTTGGATGATTGAATGACTACTAAAAGCCCAGCCACGAGGCAGGCCTCAACCTGTAGGTCAGAACAATTAAACATGGAATGGCAAGATCTTAGCCTGATCGTCTCCATTTCCCATCTTTGACCCCAAACTACGAACAGGTTGGGGAAAGTGCACAACTAGCCTCCCGAGAACCCCTTAGTGTCCTGGCAGAATGGAGAAGGCTGTGTGCCCCCACCGAACTGTTTCGGTGCCTCAGCACAGAGCACGATTCTCTCAGGCACAAGGGACCCCAGCACTGGACGCTCCTCCAAGCCCAGCCCTGACAACGACCCTTCCCCAAACCGGCTTCACAAACCCTCTTCTCCCAAGACCTAGACAGGGGCACCGGGAACTTCCCGGAGGGGAGGCGTCGCGGTGCACTGTGGGACTCGTAGTTCCCTGGTGAGTTCCGTACCCGGACGGTCCCGCACACCGGACTCCCACTCCCAGAAGCCCCCGCGCGGGCGCCTCGCCCAGTTCTGTCACCTCACCTGTTCTATGGACGTGACTGTTTCCACCGAGTCGTCCTGCAACCGCTCCAGCGCGTGCTCGGGCCTCAAACTGTACAGCGGCTCTGACCAAACAGGGGAAGACGATGGGGGACAATAGTAGGTGAAGGAACTCGGAGACGCCATGATCAGGAGAGCCGCGGACGGTGTATGGAACTCAGCTTCGTCAAACAACAACGCGTATTGAAACTCGAGCGGGCTAAGATACTACGGAGAGCGGTTGGAGTCAAAAAGATTGTGCACGCGAATCTCTTTTTCTCTCTCTCTCTCCTACCTACACTTTTTCAGGGAGTTGCTGGGAAGCTGCCGCCCCCCATTGGGCAGAAGAGCTGCTGCAAGAGGCTGACTTCCTGGCGCGCAAGGAAGGATGTGTCCATTTGAATTTCGTTTCATCAGAGAAATAGCGCAGATGCGTCTGTTCTTTATGCAGATAACGCGCGCGCGCTCTTCGTTTCAATCTTCTGCTAATACTTCACTGTAATGGAGCAGTTTGTCTTCGCAGGTGCCTAAAAGTCCAATGAGTGTACTTTAAAAGCATCTCTGACAGCCCTCCCAAATGCATCACACTAACAGAATTACGGTGCACTTTTGGTTAGGAGACAGCCGCCCTGAAGAAGACAGCAGCTTTTCAACAAAGAAATTGCCATCTCAATACTTAGTGATGGGAGGATGGGGCATTGTCATTTTCTGCCCTTTGGGGTTGCATACAATAAAGGGAACTAAAATGCAATGGAAAAAAACTTGTGTAAATGAAACAACCAAGAAAATATTCATTAATTCAGTAGGTGTGTGTTTGTGGTGTGTTGAGTGTATGTGTGTGTGTGTGTGTGTGTGTGTGTGGTGCAGCCATTATATGTCAGTCTATTACTAGAGAGGCTGTAGTAATATAAAGGTGAACAAAGCAAACATGGTCCCAAGGTGATTCTAGGTACCTTATAGTCTAGTGGAATGAACCAAATTAAGTGAATGAACTCAATCAGTATTAAGAAGACTTATAATAAATGGTATGAGGGAAAGTTATAGGATCACATGTATGAGGCTCTGGGTTCAAATCCTTGCACTACAAAGCAAACGAGGAATTATTAAAGACACTGATGGAGGAGGGAATTAATTGCATTGAGAGGCCAGACTAAGCCTAAGTAAGTGACATTTAAGCAGAGACCAGGAAGGTGGCAAGGAGCCGTCCACCAGAATACAGTGGGGAAATGCTACTCCTAAAGAAGGAAGAGTGAGTTTGAGAGAATTCATAAGTGTACATATGTGTGGTTTGCATTGATTCTGCTAATTAGTCTGAAGGTTGTCAGAATAAGAGCCTTTTATAGAGGTGAGTTAATCATTTATTCCTCCATAAAAATAATTAAAGTTGTGATTTTAATATAGACAAAAGAAGGCAAGAGCATTATCAAAGGGGCCCCAAGCTGCAAGCAAAGTGAGTACTTGACTTTGGACACGAAATGGAACTTTGGACAAGCTCAATGGTCTTAGCACATGCTTTGCATGCAAGAGACCCAGCAGGTTCAAGCCCCATGATCACATGCCCCCCCCCCAAATACCACCAAGAGTGACCCCAAGCATTGAACTGGGAATAGCCCCTCAGCATTTCCAGGTGTGTTTCCAAAGAAAAAACAACCAAAAAAAAGGCCATTAATAATATGTTTTTGATTATATGCAAAGCAGGAACTTTATTCATGAGTTTTCTTACACATGGGAGAGGTTTTCTCAGAAACTGGGTTCCACCCCTTTTAGTTATATATAATACCCTATTATCGTAGTGACTGTAAACTGTCATACCACATACCATTGAAGGCATATGACTTACAATGCTAACATGTTACAGTTAGGGAATAAAGAGCAAAAGCAGGTCAGGTGGTTATCTTTGGATGTCATCTAGTTTTAACAGATTCAAAACCACATTTGGGGATCCGTTGCAGGGTGCCAGCCTATGGTGAAGAACATGTGTGAGACTGCATCCTGCCAGTTTCCTATCTCAAATTTGAAAGTTGCTACCTTTGAATAAGCAATAGAAGAAAATCTTTTCAGCGCCCATGTAAAAAAGACTATACCAAAATTTCAGTACCGAGCGATGGGGTGGGGTCAGAGGAGAACATAAGATAGTAAGGTCCAGGGAACCAGAGAGATAGTACTGGGGTTAAGGCCTGGATTTGATCTGTGGCACTACATATGATCACCTGAGCATCACCAGGAGTAATCAATTAACACAAAACCAGGAGCAACCTTTGAACACTGCTGGCCACCAAACAAACAAATAAAAAACGTAAGGATCTGGGAAGTAGCTTTGTGGCAAAGCACTTGATTTGCATGTGTGAGACCCTGAGTTCAGTCCCCAGCACCACATAAACAAATAAAACCCTGCTGCTCCAAAGTTTGACTTATACTTCTACTCACACAGCAGTTGCATGTATGAGGTCCTGGGTTTGATTGCTAGCTCTGTCCCAAAATAAGAAATTAAAAATAGACACATATGCTGCCTGAGCCCAAGTGCTGCTTGTGCCCACATGGCCAAGAACACATGTGGTGCCCAAGCACATGTGTCGCCCGCATGTGTACTTTCATGCTTTTGTACCTAATGCTGGTATATGTGTAGAGGCTCTCTCCGCCCTTGGAGAAGCCTGTGTTCTCTTGAGTATGTTACTCTCTCTCACTCTCGCCCCCTCCATACCTTAAAAATCCTCCAAATAAAATCTGTTTATTTAAAAAAAAAAAAGAAATTAAAAGTAGTTTGAAGGCTGTAGAGTTCATTCAAGGGGCTGGAGTACATGTTTTGCATGCAGGAGCACTGGGTTCAGTCCATGGTGCCTCATAGTCACCCCAGCACTGCCAGGAGTGGGCTCCCAAGCGTACACCAGCAACAATACCTGAGTACCTTCTGAGCCTCTTATTCTAAGACAAAATAATAATAAAAGTAAGAAACTTCCCAGTTAGACTTGGAGATAAACTCAACTCAAAGCACTTACTTGCTTCCCACTCAATTCCGAGTCACATGTCTCAGCAGGAACCTGGCATAATATTTCACCACCAGCCCTGCCCCTGTGTTGGAGTACACGGAGCTTAGGTTTATCAGGTTGCACCCATCACAGTACGTAAACACACAAAAAATAAAAAGGCCGGCGGTAAGGCCGTTTCCCCACTCCACGGAGGTCGATGGCGATGGTCAGGCGAAGGAAGGAAACGGGGGCCAGGCTGGTTGGTCTTAGCAGCAGTTTATTACATGGAAGAGATGTATGTCATGGAGGCCTCAGGAATCCTCAAGCACGTGCACCTTTGTTCTCTCAGCTTCTGTCCTCAGCCCCATCTTCCCAGGTTCTCTGATGCACGTGTCCACCCGAGAGCCCTGAAATCTCCCTTATATAGATCATAGTACCTCTAAAGGGCGCAATATAGTGATGTCATCAAGAGGAGTTACAGAAAGAACAATGAGGCGGCAAACCATACATTGTTTCTTTACATCCACATTGTTTCCTTACATCCATTGTAGGCCAGTAATCCTGGCCTCACCTTTTTACAAGCTACAAGCACTTAGATTAGCACAACAAAGACCAGTCTGCTAGAGCTTGGAATCTACATCTCCAAAATCAGCCAGCCTGGAGCCAGGCAACTATATCCCAAAGATCAGGCCTGGCTTAGAGCCTGGGATCTGTATACCTAAGGCCAGCTAGGTTCCTGTGAGATAAGAGAAACTGCCTCAATATACTGAAATCATTTACTGAAGGCAGTTTGGAGGGGAGAAAGGTTCAGTCTCATCCAAGCTAGTCAGGACACATAGGAAAACTGTTTCTAGGACGTATTTCTCCTCTCCTTGTCCAACCGACATAAGCATACATAATATTAATCATTTCATATGGACACAGTAAGAAATACTTTGAGCTTATAGAATTGCTCTCCTAGGGCCATCTCGATCTCAGACTGCAGTGCTCAGGCCAGATATCTTTCCTGTTCCTAGCAGCAGGGTCCTAGTCTCGTCGTTACTTTTGGATCATGACAGCATTTGCCTATGATCAAATTCTTAACTTATAGTTAAGAATCGTGGCACCTTGGCCTGGCCCATCGCGATGCCAGGGTAGCACATAACTTACCGGCTTGCCCTGGTTCCATCCAGTCCCACGTCGGGACCCTGCCCTTGGGGTGCTAGGAAGTGAGGGCAACTGAGGCTTAAGTAGAGAAGGCAGATGCCCAGGAGTGAATAATATTCAAAGCCAATCAATTCCTAAGTTATAAGGCATAATATTAATTAATTATCTTCCTGTATCTATACAAAAAGGACATTGCATTTAAGTAAACTGCTCAAAAGACATAGGGAGAGGAGAAAGGCAATATTAACTTACAGTACAGCTTCAGTGTCTAAGCAGGATGAGACCTTACGAATTGGTTGGGGAAGAGAGCATAGAAGAGGTTACAGACAGACAAAGTAATGGGAGTGACTCGGGAGCACTGTGATGGGTGCAACCTGATAAACCTAAGCTCCGTGTAGTCCAACACCCCTGTTCTCAGTTACTGGTGTAAAATAGAAGCATTCCTAAAGATTCTAAGGCTGAAGCTGCAATGGCCTAGATTAGGTCTCAGGTGGGTACATACTATCACCCTGCCCATTTTAGCAAAATGCTGTGGAGTTAAGGTTCATGGTGTCAGAATGTTACTACATCCGAGAATAGTAAGACTGGCTGAAGAGGGGTTGGAATCACAGATGCGGTTTCCCTTTACTTCTATATTTAGCATCTTATTTACTTTCCCTTACTTCTCATTTTAGGGTTGGGTTTTTGTTTGTTTGTTTGTTTGTTTGTTTTTGCTGGGGGCATTCTCTGATAAGATCTGGGCCTTTGGATAAGAAGATTCAGTCTTCTTTGTAAAAGTTGCTTTACTGTTTAGAATTTTATTTATTTATTGTGTGTGTGTGTGTGTGTGTGTGTGTGTGTGTGTGTGTGTGTGTAAAGCAAAGGTTGTTTGTTTTTGTTTTGGGCCCACACCCAGTGGTACTCAGGGCTCACTCCCAGCTTTGTGCTCAGGGATCACTCCTGGCTCAGGGGACTATTCGCAGTGCTGAAGCTAGAACCCTGGGAGGTCGCAAGCAAGGCAAATACCTTACTCACTGTTCTATTGCTCTGGTTCCAGAAGCAAAGTGGTTTTATTTAGGAAAGATGAGAGAAGAGTGAGGAGAACCCTGTAAAGGAAAGAAATTCTGTGCTCTAAGTTAGGGTTATAGATGACCCCAAAATGGAGTATCAGT